CCCAGACCAATTCAGAACATTTCTGGCACTGTTGAGCTACTAAGCTTTGTCAGCCTTGTCAGTCTTGCCTGCTGCAGACAACAAAAAAAAACATTCTTGCTAGCCATAATTATAGTTAATGAAAATTGCCCTGAAATAGGTTATTAATTTTGTTAATCCCAGTGAATCATACAATTGATCACATAGGCTCAGGATGGTACTCAGAACCATTTTTTTATTGTGTTTGTGTGTTTGTCTTTGTCCCTGACCATGTGAATTTTAGAAAGGGTAGTATGCTAGGTGTTTTCAAAAGAAAAAAAAAATGCAAGAAGTTCCACAGATAGCCTCCAGAGCTAGCAAGTCACTTGGCACATTGTAGACACTTAAAAATCCCTGCACACTGAACACTGATCCTTACAGCCCCATCTTTTCCCAAATGATTCAAGGAGTAGGCTGAGCTTAGGCAATGAGCTTCTTCACTCACTCAGCCCTTGGCCTTGCTCTCACACACCTTGTTATTTCACTAGGTGAGCAACTATTTCACTAGGAGAAAATGCATGAGGAGCCCAGCAGAGAACTCTGCTTGAGTGACTTGACTAGCATGGTGGAGGTTTGTCTATAACCCCCAAATTGGGGGTGAGGGCAGCTGGATCCCATGAGCTAACTGCCAGCTACCTTGCCTAGTCTAAAGGGGCAAGTTCCAGGTCAGCAAGATGCCCAATTAGTTGGACAGCAGTAAACAACGACCCCCATATCCTGTCCTGGCCTAGAAATCCAAATCAAGTTGTTCAGCCTATTAACAAGCACTTTTACCCATGTACTCACATGCTTGTACCAATACACACACACACACACACACACACACACACACACACACACACACACACACACACACACTAAACCTAGAGGAAAGGTGGAATAGATGAGTGTCTTAGAGATAACTTGAGAGTGTATTTGAGCTTCAAGTAAATGAATTCCAAGCCATAAACATCAGAAAGTAGAAGGCACCTCTCAGAGAAACAAGTTGGAAAAAGCACTATTTTTAGCAAAGAAAATAAAAATAGATCATGAAAAAAAAAATGTTCTAATTTTCCTCCACTCATTAGTCCCTGCCTAGGGTCAGGTATCTCACTGGTGCCAGGAGCAAACTGACAAGCATGATTCGGCGCTGCTTGGGGGGTTCTGTGGGAAAAACCCATATGTAAATAGGGGAAAGATCTGCCAGGGAATTAAAATGAATATGATAAGACATGAGAGAGCAATTAATTCAGACCTGAGGAGTGGGACTGGAAGAGGTCACTTTTAAACTATGCAGAAGGGAAACAGGAAAAGACAACTTCTAAAAGAGCTGCACCATATGCAGTTACTAATGTTCAATCCCGTCAGAGGTAGAATGGCTAGTTCCATCTGATTTAACTCAGGGTTAGGGCAAAGACAGCGTAGAGATCTCCCTCCCTAACAACTCACATCAAGTGTCAGCAACCTGCCAGGAGCCATGTTCAGAATGATTCTGGACACTCCAGGACAATACAAATGAATAGGCGATATTAAAACTGATTAGTGATGTCTGCCCTGGCTACAGAGTGGTTAGGTTAAGAGTGTAGTTTAGACCCATTGTTACTCTTCATTTACACAGAGTTTAATAAGCCAAGGAAGGTCATGTGTAAGATACGCTGTGGCTGTAGATGCTGGTTCACAGTAGTTGCATGGTCTCTGTTAGAGGTTGGAAGAAGACAGAATTCAAGGAACTTTGAGAGGCTTTGCATGTGCTGTGCTGGGAAGTGCTTCCAATGATTTTGTAAACAGTCTTTATAGGGCTGGTTGTACCCTATTAGCTACTTGACCTACTTTTTAAAACAAATATGCACTAGCAAACCCTCTCCCTGAGATGCATAGAGGCTGCCCCATTCCTCTCTGTTGCTTTGTTATTATTGAATCCAAGGCTTTCCTTTAAACAAAGGTCACAAAAATGGGAAGATAACTCACTATAAGCATTTTGCAAATTAAATTAGTGGATGTTTTTAGGTAAAATAAAACCCAGGTCTTATGACCAAGCATAGATTTTGTTTTACAAAAGGTCAAAGTCATTGCATAAAGATTGTTTCATTTTGTTCTGTTTTACTACTAAGAGAGTACTCAAAGGAGTGAATCCAGCTTGACTTCTCAGGACCCACAGCTCAAGAAAAATGAGAGAGCTTCATTACGCCCTGCCAGGGTTTAGTTTTCTATTCCGAATCTATGTTGGGTCCCAGTGGAATTCTACAGACTGTACTGAGGATATTGAAACTTGACCCAGGGGCTTTAACAGCAGATACTGAAATGGCCTTTAGCTGTGTTTTGGCTAAAATTAGATAGTCTTCCTTTTTTGAAATTCTGGCACAAGAAACCTCAGACTTGTTGTAAAGGTTGATTTTTAACCAGGGATGCACAAGAGAAAGTGGTGGGGAATTGTCTCAAAATCCCTTTCAGCAGGATCCTCATGTTGGAGATTGAGAATTGGAGCTTTCTCTGCGTCCTATAGTAACCTACATTTCTCTGTAAGATTTTTAGCAATGAGCAAACACAGATGAGACTCCTACCCACGGGAAGTACTTTACAGAGGACTTGTTGCTGGGACAACTGCCTGTTCTGGTGTGTAGTTCACCTCTCAGTGACCAATTTTATAATTCACCCCTCCTCACTGGGGGTTATCTACTCTTAATTTTCTTGCCAGTCACCTATTGCAACCAGAAATATTTATGGAAAGCTAGTTAGACCATGGCATATCTCTTGTATGATGATAAACTTAATGAAGTAGAAAGGAGAAGTTGAATTCAATTCAGCAGAAGTTGATCATGACAAGGGCCCACCCAAGTTCTTAATGTACTGACTCTCTCAAGCTATGCCAGTTGGGTTCATTTTTATGCCAGGACTATTTTGAGTGCCAAGGAAAAGGAGGGATAGATGGCTCTTCTCCAAGTACAAGCATAAAATAGGTATGATGTGTTCAAGCTACTTTGCTGAGTGACGGGAATAGCATTAATAGAGATGGTGACTGGAGGAGGAAGAGATGGGTTTAAGGTTTTAATGAAATCTTTGTTTTTGGGGGGGACCAGGGAGAAAGCTCAGTTGGTGAAATACATGTCATAAAAGCATGAAAAGTTCAGATACCCAGAATCCACATAAAAAGCTCAGTGATCTTCTAGTCAGCCTACCTGAATTAGTTATCTCAGGTTCCATAAGAGACTTCATCAAAAAAATAAGTTGGAGAACAATAGAAGATATTTGATGTTGATTGCTGGCCAACACACACACACACACACACACACACACACACACACACACACACACAGAGAGAGAGAGAGAGAGAGAGAGAGAGAGAGAGAGAGAGAGAGAGAGAGAGAGGAAAAGGGAGCTTTATTTTAACCTGGAAATTATTTTCAACTCTAGAGAAGCACAGAGGGAAGATGGGCACAGGTTTGAAGGAGAATTATTAGAATCTCTCCAATGTATCACATATCATGTTAGAACATGAAGGGGTTGAGCAGTGTACAGGGCAGGCAGGAACATCAGCTTTATTGTCTCTGGAACCCAAATGACTCTTGGGAGTTTTAACTACATGTCGGTTGACCTTGGTGGCATGTAGGACAGGATGATAGACCCCTTCCACAGGGTGGCCTTGCTCCTGAGATAGGCTTCTTTGCATGGAAGATGACATTCAGCTGCAGTATCAAAATAAGGGAGAAAAGCTGACCCTGCCAGTCAGGGAAGTCAACAGAAACCACAGGGAGGTATTTCCAGCACTCCAGGGTTTACTGCATCTGCACCAAGCCCTGCTCATTCTCTGCAGTCTTTGAGCTTGACTTTAACAGCAGTAGCAGAGGCAAATTAACACTCAAAAGAGGCCTCAGGCCAATCATCCTTGATGTGAGTGGGTAGTTCAAAGCATGGCACAGGAGTAGGAAGTGTCTCAGGATGCCACCATTCCTCCCTGCTGTAAATTTCCATTTTACAAGCATAAGCCAGCTGCCCTGTCCTTTACATCAGGTGGAGGCAAGCCTCACTGCAGTGCCTGGCTGCCTGCAGGTCAGTTAAGCCGACTCTGCAGCAGGAGGCAGGGAGCTCCTGGGATGCAACCGAAGCAAGTAGGCCAGCAGTTATCTCCCACAGTGCTGGGCGTGCAGCCAGGACCGGCCATAGGGACAGCAGACAACATAGCTAGCATTCTTTTCTGCCTTGCCTTCCTCCCATTCTTCCCCTAAGGAAGTCATCCACCAGGACAAAAGTTTAGGACAGGGGTAGGAAAAGTTGCCTCTAAACAAATCAATAGGTGTACTTCCCATTTGTGGAGTAATTATTACATGATAGCCCTTGCTATAGACACCTTTTGAAGGTAGGTATGTTTATCCCTGTTTCTCAGATAGGAATGGTGAGGCCCAGAGCGGCACAATGACTTATAAAGACTGCCTAGCAAAGGGGTGTTTCAATCCAGTTTACTGTCTGCTTCTTACTGATATTTTAAAAGTTTGTTTAAATTAGCATATATTAATTATATATGATAAAGGCTTCCATTATGACATTTCATGTATATAGTTTTTCATCAGTTCCTCCATTATCTTCTCTTTTTCTCCTCCCATTCATACTAATTACCTTCCAAAGTCTCTCGCACTTTCTTTTTTGGGGGGTGGGATCAGATACATTTACCTAGAGATGCTTACAGGAGCATGGGTAATGGGTTTGCTGCTATTTCTTACGATCCCTTTTGAGAATGCCATATCACTCCCATTGCTATATGAAAGTGGGCTGTACAGCATTAACCAGATCCTTTAGGTAACCCTCATGTGAAATGGCATGGCATGCATTTGGTGGGCTATGGAAGTGGGTGGGTTTCCTCTGGTCTCTTGGGCTTCCTGTGCTCAGAGGTGTGGCTGTGTTTTCATTTCCCTGCCTTTCTTGTTTATGTTACCATGCTCTCAGGTATAGTGTGCTGTTCCCAAACCAGACACCATCTCTTTCTCTCTCTCTTTCTCTCTCTCTTGTAGGCACGGTGCTGTTGTGCCAGGCCAACCAGGAGGGATCTTCCATGTACAGTGGCCCCAGTTCACTTGTATATACTTCCGCAAGTAAGCCCACAGTTGTGGCTCTTTTTGTTTTGTGCTATGTATATATGAGTCCACTCACCTCCTTGCCATGTAAGTCTCTACCCCTCCTTTAATCTCCTTCAAGGTGTCCTCTCCATAGAGTGGAGTGGAGTTTCATTAACATGCCTGTTTCTTCATTGCCTTAGTATGTAAATCCCTCTGTTTGCTCCCATTCAAAGTAATCCCCCATCCCTGATATGTACTAGCCATCCTTCATTAAACTTGTCATGACTGACTGCCATGATGGGATATGGGCATTGGTTGGTGGGGAAGGTTGTGGGAGGAAGGGAAACGAGGCCATTGCCTGCATTTATCGTAGTTCTGCAAATTAATGGTAAAGAATTTTAAATGTGCAAGCCACCTAAAAGTGCCCCATAGCCTAGCAGATGTCTTGATCTGTCCCTTTGTATATGGAAGGTTCACTATGGAAATATGGCCAGCTTATGACTAGTTTGCAAGGCTTGCAAGTCCAAAGTAAAGGGAGATACATTAAGATTTTTCCAGTTTAACTGGAAGGCAGCAATACAAAAATGTTCTGATTAAATTGTATGTGTGTGTATATATATATATATATATATATATATATATATATACATATATATATATATACATATATATATATATATATATGTAAATATGGCTACAGAGAGGCAGTGGCAGGAGAGGAAACATAAGCTTGAAGAAAAGGCCTGGGGAGCATCATACCTGGTCTCCAGAGCAGACTGGACAACTAAGGAACCTGGGCCCTTTGGGTCTCCTCCTCCTTAGCCAGTGCTCTTTATTTGTTATCTAATGCAGGCACTCTTTGTAGTCCTGGGAGATTCCCTTAGTTGGCAAATGTGTCCTCTTCAGTGTTGGTGCCCAAAAGTTAGTCTGCAGGTTCTTGGAAAGGTCACTGGCTTCTGAAACAGGGTAAAGAAGGGTAGAGTTGAAGTGGAGGTTCATGATAGTCACAAAAATGAAAGGAAGGAGAATCGTCACTGCTGGGGAAAACCCGACACCTTGATTCCCAAAATGTGAGAGTGGGACAAACTAGGTAGGTCACCTGAGGCCCAAACTGTAATGGTGACAGCCCTGGGACACACTGGGTGTGTAAGAGGTGGAATGAGCAGCTAGTTCATGCTCAAATCCAGTTTTGAATTGGTTAAATGAGGGGTGTATATTTCTGTGCCCCAAGAAATTCTAACCCTGATGAAAAGTCGTTCTTTCTAAATGGAGGCAAATTGTCCCTTGTGAGTCTGTAAACGTTAGCCTTCTCCATGCCTGCTCCAGGTAGGTACTATACTGCTTGTTTTACAGGGGAGGAAGTGGAGAGCTCTGAGGACAGTGACTCACCTGGAGCCAGGGAGTTACTCAACATTCACAGGCATTTACAGACATATTTGGTTCTTTCCACTCTCCTGCCCTTCCTGTTTCTACTCTATTATCTGGAGAAGTGTTGATGCACAGTGTTAGTATTGGTCTACAGAACTCCCAGAACAAATGCTCTACATATGCATTCTATAGGACAGAGTGGGCAGGTCTCAGAGGCACTAATTATTTGAATTCATCATGTTGATTAGCCACATGGGGCAAATAGTCAGTTAACATATTGGACAGAATGGCTCTGTATACTAGTGTGATAGGCTTCCATCTTATTTACAGAAGTGAACCAGACACACCTCAGAAAATATTCACTTGGATCTGTCTAGCTGTTCTAAAGCAAATTGCGGGGCATGTTTTATATATCAGATAGAGAAATATCACACAAACTCTCTGACAAAATAATGGGGGAAATGTCAGGAGTTAGCAAACAAAAGTCACAGGCCAGACCCCATCCTTACCCACTTTATAAGAACTGTGAAACCAAACTGAGTGAAAATGTGTATTATTGCCAGGTGTGATGGCACACGGTCCCAGCACTAGGGAACTAAGGAGGCAGGGGAGTCCTGAGTTTGATACCAGCCAGGCTTATAGCTATATGGTAAGAACTTGTCTTCAAAATAAAAGAAAGAAAATGTGCATTTTATATTTCTATTATTTAAATGTATACTCTTCATAGGTGCCTGATATTCTAAACTATTACAAATTGTCTCTCTACAGAAACAGTGTCTAAGTACTCACGCAAAGGGTCTTTTTCAGTGCTAAGAATATGTGTGACACTACCGCCTCACATGTATGATTGCACAAGCTTAGCTAGTTCCTATTTTAAGTCACATCAGTCATCTCACCTACATGTTTTCAACTTCTTATTGTCACGGATCGGCCATGTGACCTTTAGAAATTATGCTAATGGCCTCCTCATATGCTATTGTTTAACTATATTTTAATCTGTTGCCCCAATTGTTGAATATTCAGGTTCATAGCAATTATTTTCAAATATATTAAAATCAATGCCCTTTTCTGCAGCAGTCTTAAAGGAAGCAATTAATAGCTAATTTCATTTTTTTTTAATTTTTAAAACGGCACAACCTAGTTTCTTCCACTAAGATTCTTCCGTGGGTATTTATCTTAAGCAGTGGTATTGGGATTGGCAATCTGGGTGAGTATTTTGTCAGAGTGAGGAACTCTACTAGTGGCACGGAAAGGTTATTCACGACCCTGGGGCACACTGCCCAGGCTTTCTTTCTCCTTCATTGCTTTTTGATCCAGCTGTTTGCAGAGAGCTGACATCTTGGCAAGATTCGTCTGGGTTTTCCTTTTCTTACCAGGTGAAATTCTCTAGAACATTCTCTAGAACAATGCTGCAGCTCTGCCCAAACCATCAAGCCAATGTGTGCAGGGTCCTTTTCTTTCAGGTCGGGTTGATATATGGCGGAGCACTTCATCCAGTCTTGTCTCTGAGATCTGAATGATGTAGATTCTTTCTCTAGGAAACCTGCCTTCTTTTTTCAAGGGGGCGGATCCCTTACTTCTAAACAATGTTTCAGGGTATAATTTTTGAAGATGCACATATTTCTCATTTTTTACTGACAGTTGTGTTCCTGGAAAAAAAATGTATATGGCAGTTAGACTCTGTGAATTATTCTTATGTAAGCTGACCTCTGATATCACTCATCAATTTGAGGGTTCTTTCTATTTTTATTATTTAAAACAATTTTCAAATTTAATTATACTTCGATCATGGTCTTCCCCTCCCCCAGGTCCTTCTAGACTCTCTTTTCCTCCCTATCCACCCAACTTCAAGTTCTTTCTCAAAAAAAAAAGCAAAAACCCAATACAACAACAAACTTTCCCCAAACCAAGGAGACAACATAAATAGAAAACAAAACAAAACAAATAACAAAAACTGTAACCGAATAAAAGTCTACACACAAATAATCCTAAAGAAGCCATTATATACTGGTCAACTACTCCTGAGCATGAGGCGTGTCCTGGAGTGATTGTTGCTCTATTGGAGAAAACATGTTTTCCTACTCCTAACAGGTATAAATGACAGGTTGAAAACCTTTACCCTAGTGGCTGGGTTCTCATTCACTGAGTCATCTATTCATTCATTTTTAATATAACAAAATAAAATATAATATGATTAAACCAAAACTATGATATCAAAGTTTGATAGGAAAGACCAACAAAAGGGAAAGAGCCTAAGAGAAAGCAGATGATTCAGAAACCCACTCAATCACACACCCAGAGGAATCCGATAAAAACAACAAACTGGAAGCTATCTATCTGTCTGTCTGTCTGTCTATCTGTCTAACTATAGATATAGATGACCTTGTACAGAGCCATACAGGCCATGTGCATGCTACTTCAGTCTCTATGAGTTTGTATGAGCTTTGCTCATGTTGATTTAGAGGCCCTTGTTTCCTTGTCTTCCACCTTCTCTGGCTCTTACACTCTTTCTGCATCCTCTTTCATGGGGTTCTCTGAGCTCTGAGGGGAAGGATGTGATGGAAATAACCCTTTTAGAGCTGAGTGTTCCAAGGTCTCAGCATAATGTCTTGATATGGGTATCAATATTCCCATCTGCTGCAGGAGGAAGCTTCTCTGATAATGGCTGAATAAGGCACTGATCTATGAGTATAGCAGAATATCATTAGGAGTTGTTTGATCACTGTTTTTGTTGTTGTTTTAAGACCAGAATTATTTAGTTTACCCTAGGTCCCTGGGCTACCCGGTCTCAGGTTATTGCACCTAAGCAGTGCTGGGTAAGGGTTCCATCTTGTGGAGTGGGCCTTAAGTTAGATCAGTTGTAGATTACTCCCACAAGCTTTTTGCCACCACTGCTCTAGCATATCTTACAGACAGTAGACTATATTAGATCAAAGCATCTGTGACTGGCTGAGTGCTATGTCTCTTATTTGGTAGCATACAGAATATCTTCCTGTACCAAATACACTAGAACACAGGGGTAGAGGCTCTACATAGGCACCAGGTCAACATTTCCATGTCCCATAAGTTGTGTGGGTGTTGTCTTCAGCAATGGGGCCTTGTTGTCAGTTTGTGGGAAGCAACCTATATATAGTCTTGGAAGTAGCCTGGGTTGTTTGGAGATTCCCAGGGTGCCCCTTTGGCCAGCAACTCAGTTAGACATAACCCAATGCCAGTACTGAAAGGTTCTTTGGTAACAAGAGATGGCCAGTTGGGACTCTGTATCTCCCATTACTTGGCGATTTCATTTAGATTGCCTTCATATATGTATATATTTTAGGAAGTTTCTACTGTGTTAAGTTTCCATACTACTCCTCAAATTCCCCTAATTTTAGCTGTCTCTCCATGTGTTCCCTCTCACAACCTCCTCTGCCCTCTCCCCTCTTGATCTTCATGCTCCAGCACCTGCCCTGGTCCATCCATAATTATCTGCTCTATTCCCTTTCCCAAGGAGATCTATCTGTTCCCTCTAGTTCCCTACCCTATGTGGTTCTACAGATTATAGCTTGATTTTAATTGACTTAACATATTATCCACATAAAATCAAATACTGCCATACTTGTCTTTCTGGGTCTGGGATACCTCACTCAGGATGGGTTTTTTTTTTCTAGTTCCATCAATTTGCCTGC